ACTCAGACACCCTTATCAAAGCCCTAATTTCCTTCACAGCCCACTCCAAACTCCCCTCTTTTGGAGGAGGCTTCCTAGTTAATAGCCTCTGGTCTGAATTTCTATGGTGCCCACTGGACATCCAGGCACCACTGAGCATGTAGTTACTGTGCTGCTTTGGCCTCAATGGGTGTCTCAGATTAAGCAGTATTTTCATCTGTCCCAGATAAGTACCCCCCTGGGGTAGGGATCAAAGGGCACAGCTGCTTTTCCAGAACCTCCCGCCTCCAGTCGAATGGCAAGGTCTCCACTGCTGTGGCTTTCTAACAGGCTGAAAACAGCCTTGCTGGAGAGTTGACAATGGCTTCATTTGCAGATAGGTGGAGATGGGAGTGGGTAAAAAGATTTGACCATAAATCTAAATCAACCAAAAAAAAAAATTGTATTGCAGATTCAATCTAGTACATCCCCAGCCCTTTTTTATTTTTTTCAGGATCTTGCTGAGTTGCTGAGGCTGACCTTGAACTTGGGATCCTTTTGCCTCGGTTTTCTGAGTTGCTGGGATTACAGACATCTGCCTCCACACCCAGCATTAATTTTTTTTTTAATTATACTCATTTCCTTTCTAGTTTCTGGTATAATCTCCCTTCCTAGACATGCTTTGTGGGTTTTTTCTCTTTTTGTATCAATTTTATCTTCCTTGTGTACGTATGTTCTCGTTATGAGTCAGCTGAAACTCTCCTTGGAAATAGCTGGGGTATAAATAATTTCACTGAAAATCTTAGTGACAGAGCCAAATGCAATGTTCTTGATTTTACTCTTTACCTTTACCTCCTTTTATACTGGTTTTTGCTCAGGTTAAAATTATTTTCAATTAAATTGATGGAAATGTATTAATGACTTTAAATCTTTATCTCCAGAATTCCCATCTTTGAGCGTTTATAATCCTCCTCTACATTTTAAACTCTGGCCCACAAGTAAAATTTTTCAGGAAAATAAAACTTTCATAATTTGATAATTAAAAGAATAAACTGAGCTGAAGATTGAGGGACTTACACTTGATTAAAGGCTTGACCCAATTAGAACTTTTCACATCTGAATTAATCCACTTTCTGCTCCTATAACAAATACCTATGATAAATACCTTATAAAGAGAAAATGACTATTTTGGCTCATATGATACAGTTCATGATTGGGCTGACCTGTTGCTTTTAGGCCTCTAAAGGCAGCACTTCATGGTGGGAGTGCATTTCAGCAAAACCCTTTACCTCGTGGCTGGATCTTAAAAGAGAAAGGAAGGGGTCCCTCAATCCTCTGAGGGCACAAAAAAAAACCTCCCAACAGGCCCCACCTCTGAAAGTTTCCACTATGTCCCAATCGTGCCACTGGCTGGAGACCAAGCCTTCATCGTATGGGCCTGTGGGAAACAATCCAGATCTAAACTCTGACCCCATCCTGTTACCATTGTCTCTGTATCCTTCAGGATTATCGTCTCTGCCTGTCTTGCTGAGCTTCCCTCACATCTTCTCCACTTATTCACCTTTCCTGTGTCTTCAGTTTCATGAGCTCTTTCTGTTCTGGCTGTATGATTGAAAGTCTCCTAACTTACCCATGACCCTAAAGCCCCTGAAAACAACCCCTCTGCTCTTCCTTTCTTAGCCAAGTATCTTGAAAGAAATAACTACCTACTTTTCCCTTAATTTATAGTAAGTGGTACCGTGATTATGTGTTGAACACCTCCTCTATCCTGGCCATGTGAATAACCACTGGAATGGTTGTAGAAAATAAACCACCTACTCCCACAGAGCTCAGCCTCCTTGCCATGCCACACAACTGCCCAGAGCTCCTGGGAACATCCTAGCCCCCAAATCCTGTGACTCTTCATTCTTTCCCCATTGGCAGCATCAGACACAATTAGCAATAGTTAATAAAATTCAAAAGCTTAAATATTTCATGCTTAGAAGTCATCCTCCATGTTTCAGGCTCTGTAATGAGTACAGAGATGATCAAGCACAGAATCTGCCTTTGAAACAATAACACAGGGAATGTCATGTAGCCCGACAGGCTTCCCCTAAGTCCCCTAAGCTTCACAGAAAAAAATACTTTTAAGGAGACCAGAGCTTTTATCTACAAAACTTGCTCAATATGGCTACCTATGTTCTCAACATACAGATTAAGACATACTCAGCAACTGGCAAACACATATAAGATGGCACCAGGAGTAAAAGTGGGATCTCCATTAATACCACCTCACTGCTGCAAAGTTAGTGGTTCTGCCTCAGCACACCAACCCCACCCAGTGTCCTTCAGGAACAAAAATCACTTATCTTAGTCAAAGACATTGAGGCCCATATAAGTATAAAAATATAAATTATGATTTGTTGAAATGAAAAAAAAATCGTAAGATTGTGGGTAAAGAAATTTTTCTACCACGTTTGCTGCCTCATGAGTCCCCACCTGCCAACCTAATTTCTCGGAGGCTGCCTTTATCCCATCCCATGGTGTATCCTACAGTTCCTCGATTCCCTGATGAGTAAGCTCCATGCTGGTGGACACCCTGAATCTTTCATGAACCACAGCTGTGTCTTTGGCAGAGGGGAGAAGACAAGTTCTTTGGATTTCATATCACAAGGGAGGATCAGGAGGCTCCAAAGCAGAACTGCTCAGGCTCCAACATCAACGTCATACCAAAGTGTTAGTGAAATCAGTTCTTTTATGTTTTCTGTTCTTCTTCTAAACTGCAATGAGAGGCCAGAATGCAGTCAAAACCATCCTCAGAGCTTTTGCTCCTCCACAAGGCTTTTCCTGGATTAAATTATTGCCTTATTAGTTTCACATCCATCCCACTCATTCCTCTGACACACCCAGGTATATCTGCATCCCCAAAATAATGAACTCTGGGTTCAAGCTGAGATAGAGTTCCCTGTTACACACACCAATACAAAACCTTGCCTATGCTAAGTCCAGTCAAATAGGTCTGAAATAGAAACCTCTGCAATCCAGAGAGAGCAAATTCACTGAATATCACAATTGAGGTCTGAACCTGAGATCAGGGAAAGACCTCATTATGAAAGAGTTCACCCAAACTCTTAGGTTGTGGTTGTTCTGACTTTTTTTGGTGTGTCACTTGGAGTTTTGCCAAAGGAAGAACTTAATAAACACAGATCAGGGCTGGGGGTGTAGTTCAGTAGTAGAGCACTCGCCTAACATGTGCAAGGCCATGGGTTCACTCCCCAATACCAGAAAAGAAAGAGAGATAGAGAGAGAGAGAGAGAGAAAGAGAGAGAGAGAGAGAGAGAGAGAGAAAGACAGACACTGATCCTGCCAGTGACCTTCCAGTTGCTCCTGGAGTATAACAGAATAAGCCTTTTCATCCTCATTGTCAGGAGGAAGCTTGCTAAGGACACTTAGATTTATTCTGTCTTCTTAGGAAGCCCCTGTGGCAGGGCTACCTGCTAATCCATATGGCACCTTTATGCAAATTAGAAAGAGACACTTCCTCCTCCCAGTGGATCCAGCTTCCACAGCTCATGCCTCCAGAGCAGACAGGAGGGGAAGGAGAGTGTCAGAGCCATCATCATCTACTTTTTACATATGGGGAAACAAGCCCAAAGAGGAGTGAGTCAATAATAAAAAAGAGCTCAGATCTCCTGAGGACCAGCACATATTCCTTCCACTCATCATCTTAGTGTGAGGCAAAGCAGCTGCTTAGTGGCCCAGTTGGAAGGGTGAGAGCTTCCTTCCTCAGGGTGCAGAGCAGTCTCAAAGGTAGACAAACCAGACCCAGGGTCCCTTCCCTCTCACTCATCAGTGTTTATGTTACCCATGTCCTCTTCCTTTGGCAAAGAAATAGGGTCTCATTTCTGAGCACTTGTGAGAGGTAATAATAAAAGGTGAGGATATAGTTGGAGGCAGGTAACAATCCCTGCAGTCCATTTTCCACATCCCCATCAAACAGAATCTCAGCTCTGGTTTGCCAACAATAGTGATTCTCAAACTTTACTTTGCACCAGAACAACAACAACAAAAAAAAAAAACAGCTTGGTGGTCCCAGAGTCTGTGATCAGGTAGGGCCTGAGAATTTGCATTTCCAACACATTTGGTCTGTGGCAGAGCTGTAACTAGAGCCAGTTGACCCTAATGTTGGTGCTCTGGGGATCTGCTATGAGAGCCACTTGCCTAGCAAAAGAGCCCACCCTTTCCTCCCTCACCCTCTTTCCTTTCTTCCTCCTCTTCCTTTGGCCTTTTCTTCTTCCTCCTCCTATTCTTCTTGGATCCTCTTCCCATCTTTCAAATCACGACAGAAGGAGCTAGCTCTGCTGGGGACCTGGGCTCTAGTTCCAGTTATGCCACTGACTAATGTGTGTGACCCGGGGTGAGTCACTACCCGTCTCTAGGCCGAGCAAAGGCAGTCACCCAGACTGTGAAGTCCCCTCCACAGCCAGGACCATATCTGCCAGGGTTCATCTCTATATCCCCAGATCCTTTGAGCCGTATGTGTTTGAAGGGAGGCCTCCCCGGATTCTAATCTCTTCTTCCTTCCAAATCGGAACTGTCCCTTTCCAGTTAGACGTGATATTTGAGGTCTTTCTAGGGGATGGTCTGGAAGGCGGGGTAGCTTGTTCAGGGGAAGGAGCCAGGTCCACGGCTTCAGACCCTGCCCTCGCGCGGGTCGAGGTCCCCCAGCAGGAGGCGCCAGAGTGAAAGCCAAGGCCAAATTGGTCAGCCCAGGTGTCCAGTCCGGAGCTGGGAGGCGGGGCGGGATGCTGCGCCCCAGAGGCGTGGACATCACCGACGCGCGCTGGGACCGCACTTAAGTAGCTGGGGCCAGGGCGAGGAAGGAAGGAGTGAGCAATCCCGGTTGCTGCTGATCTTCTCGGACCCGGACCCAGACCCAACCCGACCTAGTCTGCACCATGTGGGGCTGGAGCGTGGCTCTGTGGCTCTTGCTGGCTCTGCGCACTGGTGAGGCCCTGGCGCCCCGGCGGGGGTCCCAAAAGCTCTCCAGCCCTTCGGGGCCCGGAGCCTTTCGGGGCCGGGAGCCATGAAACGCGTCCTGAGCCCGCGTCCCCGAGGGCGGGAGAGTAGGCAAAGCGCGAGGCGCGGGTCGGTGAGGACGTCAGAGGGTCTCCCACCGTTGGGGCAGACCTGGCACTCCGGATGGCTTCTTGGAGGAGGCGGCCTCGAACCTGGCCTTGGAAAAAGGGACTCTTCAGACTTGTCAAAGAGGCGCCTGGGGGGAGAGCCTCGGGGTGTCCCGGAGGAGGGCCCCCAGGATGGCTGCTCCTGACAGGCGTGGAAACCCAGGCAAGGTTTGGTGGCCAGAGCAGCCTTATTTTCCGAGCCCCCCAGGGGAGGGCGTGTATTTAGAGGGATTGATTGGCAGGAGGGCGTGGGAAGCCGCCTGGGAGACTGCACCCCGACTCTGCGAAGGTGGGTCTTCTCGCGTCAGCACCCAAGGGAGTCAGGGTTAAGTCAGGTGGGAACTTCGGGAGCAGGGATCGCTGGGCGGTCACTGCGGAGGGGCTGGAGTTCACATCACTGCTCATTCTTCATCAGTCCAAAAATTAACCCGCCTCCCATCCCTCGTCTGGACTCTGCGGTTGACCAGACTCCAGGTGAGGGAAGGTTTGGGAGTTTGGACCTGTAGGGAGGAGTAGGACTGTCGACCTTCCTAGGTGGCCACAGGTCAGGAGAGGGGGGGGGGCGTGCAGGCAGCTACAGTGTTGATGCTTGAAGTAGGGATTGGACAGCATAGGCTGCCACAAGAGGAGGACCTGGCTTTGGGGCAGAGAGAATTGAACCCCAACCCGGAGCATAGACCTCCAAGGAGTCTGACTGGGGAGGTGAACAGTGGAGGAGTTCAGGTTTGCAAAATTATTAACCTCAGCGGAGCCTGACACCCCTTCCTCTGGGGCCCTGCTGGGAGCTCTGAGTCTCTGACCTGGTCAGATCAAAGGGCCCAAGTGCAAGTCTACTGAAGACCTGTGTGTCCTGGGTTCTGCACACAGATTACTTCCAACATAAGGTAAGTTTTCTCATCTCTTTTCTCAGAAGAGGAAACAGGCCTAGTGAGGTCAAATATTTCCTGAAGTCACCAGTTATAGGGGCAGGAACTTGAACCCAACCTGCTGATTCCTCAGCCTTCCCTCTTGTGTCCCAGGGTCTGAACTGCAGCCAAGAACACAGACACTCAGAGAAGGAGCCAGGCCTCTCTGGGACAGCCCACCACAGCCACCTGTTCTCAGGCACATGCCCCTGTTCAGGAGGGCCCAGGGACACTGCTGAGGGAAGAACCCCAGGCCAGTACCCTCTTCTTGGAGGCCTGGAAAGGGGCAGAACTTGTCAAGTCATGGAGCCTGCTGGGGCTTCCCAGGCAGTGCTGCTTCTTCCCTCCAGCCTCTGCCTCCACCTAGGCAGGTGGAGGGAAGTGGGGCAGCTGCTCAGCTGTCCTGGGAGATCGTCCACTCCCCAGTATTGGGTCAGTTTCTGAGCTGCCCCACCAGCCAATGTCCCTGATTAGGAGGCCCTGAGCACACCTTGCCCTGTCTCTGTACCCTGTGGGAGGGCAAGACTGTTGAAGGGGACTGGCTATCTGGACTGAGGCTGGAGCCATTTAGGGCACTTGGATGGGCCACGTTAGGAGCTAGACCTCACTGTCTCCTGCCTCCAGTGCTTGGCCAAGTCGAGGTCCAATGGTGCACCACGTCAGACCCAGAGCAGCAGAAGTGCAGCGACATGAGCAAGGCCTTCCAGGAAGCAGGCATCCAGCCCTCCCTCCTCTGCATCCAGGGCATCTCTGCTGACCACTGTGTCCAGCTCATCACGGTAAGGCCTCTCCCCCGCCAGCCCGCCCTGCTCCTGCCACCACTGGCCTAGACAAGAGGACTCTGACTCAGGAGGAGTGCACAGCACAAGAGCCTCATTCACTGGGAAAGGGGCCGGCGTCCCTCTGCCAGGGCTGGGCGATAGGATCTCTTGAGTTTCCCGGCAACAAGGGTCAGTTTGTTTCCTCCCAGCCCAGGCCAGGCTGGAGGCCGAGGGAGGGTGTCTGTTCAGATGGGTGCTGCTGGAGAAAGGTGTCTGAGAGGCAGGGCTTCCCTTCCACAAGGCCCCTGCCGGCATGGGGACACCACCCACATGGGGGTGGGGGCAGACAGTAGTGACCTTTCCGCAGTGACCTTTCATGGTGGTTACTTGCTGCCATGGAACTTTCCACAGTGACACTTGTATGGATTCTGCGAAGAAGTCAAAGAGGCCTTGGCAAGGTGTGTTCCCACTAAACCCGCACTGGTGGTCTTCAGAGGCAGCACAGGATTGGGAGGGACATTGTAGACCTCCATGAAGCCAAGGCCTTGGGTCAGGCTCCACTGTGAGGGCAGACACCAGTTACACTGAATCCTAATCTCATCCCTTCTTCCCGTAACACGATGACAGTGCACTTTCATTCATGTTTAAAGATAAAAAGGAAAAAAAAGAGAGAGAGAGAGAGAGGGCATCTATGGGATTCAGTCTCCATAGACTATTTGAAAGGAAAAACCTAAGAACAGGGCTGAGAAATAGGAAAGTAAGGAAGATTCACTTTTTATAACTTGGCACTTTGTATTATCTGATTTTTTTTTACTGCGTGCATCTATTATGATATGCTAAAATAAACAGTTAATATTATTTTAAAATAGCAAGAGTTAGAAAAATAAGGTGAATCTTCAGCCTGATAAAGGGGAAGAGCCCTGGGCCCCTCCAGATTGGGATAGACAAAAAGCACAGCACACATCTCCAGGACTTTTCAAGTGTCCCTAGGCCACCTGGAGGCGTTCCTGAGTTCCTCATGAAAGGCCAGTTGGGCAGGACTGGGTGACCTGCATGTTTCTTACTAGGCCCAGGAGGCTGACGCCATCACTCTGGATGGAGGAGCCATCTATGAAGCGGGGAAGGAGTACGGCCTGAAGCCTGTGGTCGGCGAAGTGTATGATCAAGGTACAGGACAGAGTGGGAGAGAGAGCAAGGCCCCCACCCAGAAGTCAACTCACAAGTCTGGGCTGGCTGACCCTGCAGCCTCTGAGCTGGCCATTAGACCTGTCCACGAAGCAGTCCTGGGTCCCAGGCTGATAGACCCTCTGGCAAGCCCCTAGCTCACTCCTGAAGCCCCTGGGCAAGAAAGCCAGGGACACAGAGGGTTGATTTGAGTCCTTCCTCATGGGGAGTCCAGTTCCCCTAACTTTTGCCACCAAACCTGGTGCAGTGGTGGGCATGGAGCTGAATGAATCATCACCTGTATGACCAAGGTTTTGGTGATGCTCAGCTACCCGAAAACATCATGGCTCTCTGTGGGAGGCAGCGTGGACAGGTGGAAGAGGAACCACAGAGCCCAATGGACCAGGAGCACATTGGGAGGAGCTTTGTGAGCTCCTTTACCCCCTCCCTGCCTCTCACAGCAGATCTGCCCTCAACTCACCCTGCCTTGGCATCTCCCCACCACCTCTGCCTGCTCAATGTCTAACTACTGTCAGAGTCAGTGAGGTGGTCACCTCCCCCAGGAGCTTCCCAGAGCCCCTCTCACCCTTGCTAAGGGCCTCTCTCTTCCCTTCCTTGTGATTCCCCAAGGAGGACCTAGTTCTCATCTTTGTGTACCCCTGGTGCTCTACACAGGGTCTCACTAGCTAGGTACTTGTTGAACTGATTGTCACATGACAACACATAGTCCAGTTCTGCTTTCCCTGGAAGTCAGACGGAACACACTCTTCCTCTTCAGTTCAATACCTCCATTGAGCACCTACTGCATAGGAAGCAAGAGACCTTGCTTCTGTTGCAGGGAACAGGAGTGAGACAGGGAACAAACAGGCAGCAAAAACTGCAGTGACCCAGGTGGCAGGTACAGTGAAGAAAAGAAAGGGCCATGAGAGGAGAAGTGAGGGGCATGGGGAAACCTACAAAATAGGGCAAACGAGGGTTCTCCACGGAGGTGACATTTAAGCTGAGACCTGACAATGATCCCAGGTAGGCAAGAGCCTGGTAGGTCCAGGATCTGGAAGGAAAGGGAGGATGGGTGAGTCAGGGGTGATGCTGGACAGCACTGCTTGAGTTGGCAGGAGCCAGACTCAGGAGAGGGACAGGGGGCCATTGGATCATCAGTCCCCACAGATGAGTCACCTGTGTCTTATCTGATCGGTCCCTTCTGGGCCACTCTTGGCCCAGGGAAATATTGCAAGGCTATAGAGACACACACAGCCCCCCCCATGGCCATTCAGGGTCTTAAGTGACTTGGGACCACATTGCTAGTACTTTCTGCGTCTCTGTCTCTTTCTCCCTGTCTCTCCCCTCATCACTAGGACATTGCTTTTCCCAATACCAGGAAGCCCCTGCCCTGCTCCCCCTGTCCCTCCCAGCCATCTTCTCCCTATAACCACCACATCCTTCCTTCAAGCCCACCACGTTCTTCTCAGGACCTAGGTTTTTGGAAAGCAAAAGACATGCAGGCTACTTCTGCTTTCTGTCCAGCTACAGAGCTGGACACATGCACAAATGCAGCCGCAGCCCAGTGCCAGCTGGCTTGGGAAGGAAAAGTAGGGGGGATACGGTGAATGAATTATTGTCTTGGGATAGTATCTATCTCATGAGGCTGGAGGAAGGCAAGGTCTCGTGAGAAGACATGGATCGTGCCCTCTTGCTCTCTCTATAATCCAGTGCCATCCACATGCCCATGTACACCCGTGTGTACACACATGTGCTCCACACCTGCACACCCACGCTATTCCCACAACCTTCCCAGCAGAGTGGCACTGTGGCCATCTTGAGGCTTTTCCCTTGCCACCCTCACTCCTCCACCTCCCTCCTAGAGGTTGGGACCTCCTATTATGCTGTGGCTGTAGTCAGGAGGAACTTCAATGTGACCATAAACACCCTGAAAGGAGTGAAGTCCTGCCACACGGGCATCAACCGGACAGTGGGCTGGAATGTGCCTGTGGGCTACCTGGTGGAGAGCGGCCGCCTCTCAGTGATGGGCTGCGACGTGCTCAAAGGTAAGGACTCAAGGCTCGTCACAGGGTGCCTGGGTGTCCCCTCATTCCCTGCTGCGTAGTCTGTGAAATCACCACCTCCACTCTGCTGGCCAGCCCTGTGCGGCTGCCATTTGTGTTTCTTCACTTATTGGCCCCTATAGTATGTGGCTTTCACTCACTTGTCATGGTGGCCCACATGACAGCTAAGCACAGGTCTAGCCCACAGTAGAGAGGTGTGAGTCACCAAGAAGTGGCTGCCACTGGTACAGACTTGGTGTAGGTCACCAGAAGCATGAAGGATCAGAAACACTATATTTTCAGAACCCAAGCTCCTGATTTGCACCCAGAAAGCTCCCAAGTGGCTTAAGAGTCCAGCCAGCTGTTAACCCAGCACAACCCCTGCCTGGGAGCCCAGACTCTCAGATGGTGGCCAGGTGTGGGTGGCTTATCTGTCACAGGGCATGTTTATCTACTCCTCTGGGAGGACAAAGAGAGAAGACCAAGATGGCACTCATCCTGGCTGAGGGTCATGGCTTGCCTGGCACAGTGCAGGAAGTAGGGCATCCTCCCTTGGCACAGGACAAATATTTGTGAAGGGAGTGAACCTGGGGCCTAAGTGCTAGCACGGCCCAAAACAACATCCAAGTCAGCAGAGCTAACCTCTTCACTGCAAGGCTCCTTCTCAGCTCCTCTCCTCCCACCATGATTTGAGAAGTGTTGTCTGTCCCCGGGACAATACTTGTTAAGTCACAACCCCCTTCATTAACCACACGTACGGATTTGGAAATGAACCCCAGAGAGAACAGCATCCAGTTGATATTTAGTTGTCCTGTGTGGACATTTGTGAGTAAATGTTGTACTCCTCTGGGAACTTTTAAACAGCAACAGTCCCACCCAGTTGCACATTGCCAATGTCCTGGACCCAGTGTGAGAATCACTGATCTCATCCACTTCTCCAGTTTTACTCAGGCTGAAGCGAGAGGGTGAGACAATTCTCAGAAGCATCCAGACGAGGGGCTCCATGTAGAGCACCCCCCCACCACAAAACAGCCTGAGTCTGTAGAAAGTGCAGCCTGCCAAGTAACCTCTTTCTGCCCTACTTCCACAGCCGTCAGTGACTATTTTGGGGGCAGCTGCGTCCCAGGAGCAGGAGAAACCAGATATTCGGAATCTCTCTGTCGCCTCTGCCGGGGTGACACCTCTGGGGAGGGTGTGTGTGACAAGAGCCCCCTGGAGAGATACTATGACTACAGCGGAGCCTTCCGGTGAGGGTGCCTAGAGAGGGACAGGGAGGGACGCTGAGTCGGAGGTGGAGGGAAAACATTTTGCCCAGAGAGGCCACACGGGGAGTGGCAGTGTATCAAAGCATCCTTTATACAGTTCTGTGCTGTGCCCTGGCTTGTTTATTAACATCAAACCAGAATGTGCCAGGCTGGATTTGCTCATAAAGTCAACATGTTTGGTGTATTTAGAGAAGGGAGGGCTCAGAGAAAGGAAAATGGAAAAAGCCACCCTTTGGCTACTCTGGGACCCCATTCTGGTGTCTCCCACCAGCAGGGAGGGCCATGGGGTGGGAGAGTACAGCTGGACACTTTGTCTGGTCCCTTCTCTGCAGCTAGTTCAGGCTGGTACTTTGGATGACCATGGACCCCAAAGAGTATAACAGCTCATAGTTCAATTGTATTTGTCTCCAAATAAGAGGATGGAATGGAAACCTAAGCATTTCTAGCTGCCAATCCTCAGTGTCTGCACCTGGAGCAGGGATATCTGCTGGTCCCCATACCCAGGAGGTGGCCTGGGTGAATGCAGATTTTGTACAGAAAAGAAAACACTCCTCCCTGCCTCTTCCATGTCCTGGGCTGCCTGCCCATCCTGTCTGCCTCTTAGAGTCCTCTGCTCTTTCCTTGTCAAATTCCTGCCTATTTTCTGGCTGTAGAGAACCAAGTAGTTGCCAGGCATGGTGGTGCACACCTGTAATCTCAGTAGCTCGGGAGGCTGAGACAGGAGGATTGTGAGTTCAAAGCCAGACTCAGCAAAAGCAAGACATTAAGCAACTCAGTGAGACCCTGTCTCTAAGTAAAATGCAAAAATAGGGATGGGGATGTGGCTCAGTGGTTGAGTGGCCCTGAGTTGAATCCCCAGTACAAAAAAAAAAAAAAAAAGAGAGAACCAAGTAGTCCCTTTTCCTAGCAGGCCCTGACCCGCCTCCCACACTGGGCATTTTCATATAGATAACTGCGTCAAGGTCACTTCTACTCAGAATTTTTTGGTATGGTGTGAGAAGATCTTCTAGCCATATTCCCTGCTTCAGCAGGATCATATTCAGGATGCATATGATTATAAAGAATCTTTCCTCCTCATGGCGACCCCATAAGGAGCTGCTTTCTCATCCCCACTTGACAGATGATAGGGCGAGGAAGGGTTCACAACTTGGCAAAGCCACACAGTTAGCAAGCCAGGGAGCTGGAGCCCGGGACTGCTGGACTAGGAAATGTGTGCCCCAGGGCCACCCCTGCAGCCCAGGCTACACCTCCAACAGTGGAATATGGGTGGGACCCAGGGGCCGAGGGGAGAATGGCCCCACCCAGGATCATGGTTTCTCCTCCACAGGTGTGTGGCAGAAAAGGCAGGGGACGTGGCCTTCGTGAAGCACAGCACTGTGCTGGAGAACACCGATGGTGAGTAAGTAAGGCCCAGGCTGCCTGAGATGGGCCCCCAGATGGTACCAGATGCTCAATGCTGCTTGAGTCTCTGGGTGACCTTGGACCAGTCCCGTGATCTCTGAACCTTAGCACTCCTATCTGCAGAAAGGAAGTTCATTTCATCAAAAGGCCCCCAAAAGCCCCGCAAGGGGCACGGGCCAGTGAGTAGCAAGAGGAGGCTCTGATTTGTATGTGGCATTAGGTTCCTTCCGTTTCAACTTGATAATCCATGTCTGCCTTTTTAAAGATGGTTTCACGAGAGTTCATCCACTGTCCCTTCTGGCATTTTTCTCCCATTTCCTGAAAAGCCATTCCTTGTCCCCCTGGGCAAAGTCTTATTTAAGATAGGTTGTTATGTATGTTAGTCAGCTTTTACCCTACTGTGACTAAAAGACCTGACCAGAACAACTGTAGAGGAGAAAAAGTTTATTTGAGAGCTCAAGGTTTCAGAGGTCTCAGTCCATAGACAGTGGGCTCCATGCCTCAGGGCTCAAGGTGGGCAGGACAACATGGCAGAAGAGTGTGGAGGAAGGAAGTGGCTCACTTGATGATCTGAAAGCAGAGAGAGGACTCCACTGGCCAGATACAAATTATATACCTCAAAGGCACAATCCCAGTACCTAGGCAGATGGTACATGCCTGTAAAACCTCGTGGTTCAGGAGGCTGAAGCAGGAGGATCACAAGTTCAAGGCAAACCTTAGCAACTTAGTGAGGCCTTGAGCAATGTAGCAAGAACCTATCTCCAAGTAAAATATAAAAAGGGCTAGGGATGCGACTCAGTGGTTATGCGCCCCTGGTACCC